ACATAACAGGACAGATAAGAAATAGCTTTAGCTTTTAGATAAAAGCCTAGCAGAATGCATTATCTAATAGGAACTGCAGGTTTGTAGGCTTGCAGGCTATGTAGGCCGCACAAGCATGTAAGCATGCAAACATGCAAAGCATGCAAACTCTATGTATATAGTCTTAATTACAACTATAGTTAGAAGGTTGTAATTACTATTTAGTCTTTACTTACCTAATAGACTAAAAGGCATTAAAACTTTTATAAAGAGGACATTACTGCCTTGTATATCTTGCACTATATATACCTTCTTTTCTATCCTTACAGATTAGGTTTGCTAGCTCTCTATACAGCCGCTAGGCCAAACCACAACCTGCCTTCTCCACTCCGCTAACCCTACACTCTGCTCAACAGACTGTACACCCGATCCAGTTAAGTCCTACCCCTCCTACCGCTAACATCACCATAGGCCGTCGTACTCCTGAAAATACCATTTCGTCGGAGTAAGGATTGTAACAGTAGTATACATATTACTCTAGTTAATTTAGAGCATCTTTAAATAAACTTTTTTTAAAGTATTTATTACTTATAATAATAAAGCGCTTAAAACACTTTATATAGTATTTTTTATAGCTAACTTCTTTAAGCAGCTTTAACTAAGAGCTTATAAGCTTTTAAAAAAACTTTTAAAATAAAAAGATTTATATAAACACTTATATAAATTTTTTTTTAAGATTATAGCATAAAAAAATAGCTACTCTACTTAAAAAAGGCACTTAAAAAGAAATTATATAAACTAAAGTAACATCTAAGCTGCTCTTACTAAAGTAGGTCTTTATATATAAATTTAACTAAAATAAGTATTTTACTAAATGTAAAGCTTATATTTACATACACAGTAATTTCTAAAGTAAGGACTTGCTCTAGTTAACTTATACTACTACTTTTATAGCTAAATTTTTCTAAACAGTAATTATAATAGCAGCTTAATTTAACTTAAAAATTAAGTAATATAATGTTATAAGCGTGTTTTTAAACATGCACTATAAAAGTAAGCTAGAAGTAACATATAAGCTTTTTTAAGCCTTATATAAACTGCGTAACTTACTAATCTTATAGTACTAAAAGCTTTTATAGGCTTTTTAGACGCTTAAGCTTATTTTATTTAAAAAGAAACTATACTTATTTTTTAACTATAATTACTATATCTTGCTTTTTTATATATAGATAATATACTTTATATTTATTACTATAATAATAAGTTAAAAGCTTACTAATTAATTAGTGTAATTAAAAAAAATGTATAAGCTAAAAAATAAAAAGCTATATAAATAGTTTCTAATAATTAAAATAATTAAAAATAAAAAGGCTAGAATAATCTAGCTAGTACACAACATGTATATTAAAAAAGTAGTAAAAAAGTTTAACTTTATAAAAAGCACGCACTTTTTAAAAACTTTTTTACTATTAAAAAAGCTTATAAGCAACTAGAGATGAGTATTAAAGTATAAAATTAAAGAATACTAAGAGTGCGTAGGATTAACACTTTACACTATAATTATAGTGCGCTCTAATATAGCGTTTACAGCATCCTAGCTCTCCTACTACTTAATAAACCTAGAAAAGTAGCACTTTGTCAGATTAAAGCACTGTTTCTAGGCTTCCTGAGATGAATGATGGGTTTAGATATGATGTATGGGATGATGATTGATTGTCTTGATTTTTCGATCCTTTTTGTGCTCTACTCGTGTTGCTCAGCTTTTGTTTTTCCGATCTGAGTCCCTTTGTCGTGTGCGAAATTTGCTGGATTCTTGGCAATGCCAAGTAACTACTTTTCCCTCACAAATCTCATTGAGATTTAGGTAACTGCACATATCGCTCTATACACTCCACTAAATAGGAGAAGGACGTTGTATAGTAAGTAAGGCTTTTTAATAGACTCTATTAGCCTTATCTTACTAATTTTTAGAGTAGTTACTGCTAATTATACCCTAAATTGCTTATCTTTGTTGTTAACATAAATAGATAGCTAAGAATGCTCCTACTACTTATTAATTAACTTATAATAAACAAGAGAGTAATAACTATAGTATTGCTGCCTTTAAAGAGCGCGCTGCAAGTACTCTAGCACTAGCTCCACGCGGTAGGAGCGCTGCGCGCGGTGGGAGGGCTGGTAGAGTTGCTCAAGGTAGCGTACGCGCTGCTTCAACTCCAGCTCCTCCTAGAGCACCTGCTAAAGCTCCTAATAAACGCCCTACGTTGCTAAATCTGTTTATCACAAAAAAAAAAGCTCCTGCAGGTAGTTTAAAAGCTTAATTAAAGGACACAGAGGCGCAAGCTGCGCACTACTAAAAGCTTATTAAATTACATAGGTTACTGCATAAGAAGGGCGTCACTAGTAAAGATTATAACAATAATAAGGAAGAAAAGCTTAAAAAGCTAGCATATAACAAGTAGACGCCTCTAGTTATTTATTATTACAACACCTCTACTATAGAACCTGCTAAAACGTGCAGTTATAATAGTTAGATTTTATTAAAGAAAATGCAGCAAGTTAAAGTTATAAAAAAGAACTTATAATAGGAATTAAAGCGCTATGCAAAAAAGACGCTAGATACCTTTAACACTACAAAGTTTATAAAGAAGAAGGTAGTTAATGCCTACATTAATTATAATTTTACATTTAACTATATTATCTAGCCCTCTGTACAAGTTTAGGTTAACAAGGCTACTATTCTTACTTATTTAAAAAGTAATAATTATTAAATAGCCTTTACAGAGGTCTAGAAGCAGATTAAAGAGATAGTAGTTAACACAGTTTTTAGGAAATGCAGCGCTAAGGACGTTAAGTTTATAAGCTATAAAGTTATAGTTAGATCTATTAATAAAAGGGCTAAAAACTACCTCTATACAATTGCTAACTTTAGATCTGCCTATATAAAGAAGGTAATTAGTATTACTAATAGAGAGTACTTTAACTTCTTAAAAAACACAGTCTAACTTACCTTTAAGGTAAAGACTAAATGTAAGGCCTTTACTAAACTTAGGCAGCTACAACAGACAAAGAAGAAGGGCAAAACTTCTAGTGTAACAGCTAAGGTTGTTGCTACTCTTAATAGTTCCCTAGCACTAGCTGCTCTAGTAGATAACAGCTAAAGGTCACGCAGTACAGTGCTGTGCAACGTAAATTTAATCTAGCAACTCTAAGGTTACTAAACACGCAGCAAGTTTATAAACACCCTTATTTAAACATAGAGGTGCTAGGATCCTAGCTGCCTAAACATTAGTAACTTTTGCTATTATAACGTAGCAGAACAGCTAGGCTCTTACTTTAAAATAAAGTAAACTAACCTTAATGTTTAAGCCTCTGCTTTAAAGAGAAGCAACGCTAGTGTTTTAGTTACAGCGCTTCTAGAGCAGCAGAAGAACTATCTGTACAGCAAAAGCGCAATTAATTAAGAGGGCTTAACACCTAGTTGTTAAACACTAGCCTAGCGTTACAGTGCGCAGGTAAACTTTATAGCTAATTATGTAAAAGAAGCGTAGGAGATGTATTAAAATATTATAATAAAAAATAAGCTTAAGTGTATACAGGAGAGGATTAAAGATAGAGAGCAGCACTGCAATAAGAAGAAGAAGAGAGAGCAGCGTTGTTGTAAAGAGCTTAAAAAACTAGAGTTTAGTAGGAAACTAGCCGCAGATTAGCGCCAGCCTCACCTATACCTAAATTCTTATTATAACTAGGTATCTAGCTATCTGTCTCCTCTCACTCCTCTCGCTCCACCAGCTCCACCAGCTCCTGCAGCTCCTGCAGCTCCAACTCCAGCTCCAGCTCTCGCCAACCTTCCCCCGCCGTACAATCCTCTGCCCAGCGCCTTTTAAGCAAACGTTGCTGTGAACTAATTGCCTACCTAAGCCTTAAGCCCTATAGATCTGTTGCAGGATAAATATAATTTAGTAGAGAAGTTCTTTAATTAGATAATTAAGCAGCAGAAAACTAAGGCTTAAAAGCTAGAGTTTAAGCGCGTAAAGAAGACCGCAACTGCTAACTTCTAGAGTTTAGATAACTTTAAAGGCATAGAGAATCTAGTGTCTAAACTATATAAACTAGCAACAGTAGACTATTATCTACTAGATAGGATTGCGCGCAGTTTTAGGCGCTATTTAGGTAGGTTTAAACTAGAGCACTGTTAAAAGAAGGCTGCGCTAGCAGCAGAAGCTCTAGTTAACCTGCAGATTAGTAGAGAGGGATTTGTAAGAGGTAATATTAATTAGTTTAGACGCTAGGTCCTAGATTTGTACAGCAGATAGTATAGAACAATAGGGCAGCTTGTTGCAGGCCTGCTGTATAATAATACTTTATGTTACTATATAATCTAGATTACTACTGCAGCTGCTACCTGTTAACTTTACCCCTCTTGTACACCCTTATCTAGGCATTTGCTCTATTAAATACCTTATCTTTAATGTATAGTCCTTCTCTACTAGTGTGCTAGAAGTGCTTAGTAGCAAATTAATCATAGTAACTCTTACTAATAGTAAATCTTAGAAAGTCTCTAAACATGTTAAACTTATGTTAGTAATAGTAGTAGTAGCGCTAAACCTAGGCTTTTAGCACTAAGAAAGTTAGCTTAATTAGATTATAGTTAGGTAAGTACAGCAGCAGGAACTGTACTATATGGCCTCCTCTTTAAATCGCGTTAGGTATCCTCTTGTTGCAGTAAGCAGAGCAGTTATCTAAAACAATACACATTGCGCGTCTTTTAAACTAACAATTAATAGCTAGCAGAAGCTAGTTCTCTATCTAATTAAGAAGACTCTCTGTATTAAAATAGCCCTGCCAAAACGCTGTACAATCAAGGTATCCATAACAGAGGGAGTAAGCTGGTAGAATTGACCATGCTTGCCCACAATCTCTATCCCCAGCGTATTAATTATCGTCACTAATTAGACTGTACGCGCGGCGCCTCTAGCCTGTTGTTTTGTTAAAATTTAACTTGTTAATAAAGACTAACTAATCTGCTGTATAGTTTATTATAATACAATAATAGTTATTGCAAAGGTCCTTACTGCGCTTAACTAACAGCAGTTTAATAGCCCTCTTGTTCCAGCCCTTCTTTTTTAGCATCTTAGAGATATTTGATCAATTAATGAGCACCCCGCGCTCTGCGTACAACCACCACTTCATCTCATCCTGGTACATCCAGCCATGCGCGACGAGCTCATTAAATAAAGCCTCCCGGTCTGCTGGGGTGAGCCTAGGAGGACGCCCTAATCGACGCGTTCTTGGGTGCGTAATTGTACCATATTTCATGAGGCATTGATGGATGTCGTACACGGTAGAGCGGCTCGCGCGCGAACGGATGATGACCTCTGGGATAGGGACGCCAAGCATAAGGAGATGATACGCGATAGAACGACGATTAGCAGTCTTCTGGCCGTGTTTTGAGTAGGACGAGGCTGGTAGCAAGGCCTCTGGATTGAGAATGCGCGCTTCCATGAGACGCGTCCCCTGAGGGGCCCGCGAGAGGACTGCAGCCAGATCCATGATCTATTACTCTGCAAAATTTGTAAGATAGGCCTTATCCATACATTTAAAAAGCTTCACTTACAATAAAACGCGTTGTGGTTGATTATATAGGGCGATATGTGCAGTTACCTGAATCTCTATGAGATTTGTGAGGCAAAAGTGGTTACTTGGCATTGCCAAGAATCCAGCAAATTTCGCACACGACAACTCGCGCACTAGCCCTATGCGCGACCAGCTTGCAACATGCTGCAATTTGTTGCAGAATATTGCAAAATGCTGCAACATGCTGCAATTTGCTGCAAAATGCTGCAATTTGCAGCAACATACTATTCGAGCTTATTGCTTGTACTATGTAGCAGCTTTCGTCCAGCGTTCCTCCTGTCTTGACAGTAGGTGCGCATATCTGTGTCAGATTGAAGCACTGTTTCTGGGCTTCCTGAGATGAATGATGGGTTTGTATATGATGTATGGGATGATGATTGATTGTATTGATTTATCGATCCTTTTTCTGCTCTACTCGTGTTGCTCGGCTTTTTGTTTTTGCCGATCCGAGTCCCTCGCGCACTTGCCCTATGCGCGACCAGCTTGCAAAATGCTGCAATTTGCAGCAACATACTGTTCGAGCTTATTGCTCGTACTATGTAGCAGCTTTTGTCAAGCGTTCCTCCTGTCTTGACAGTAGGTGCGCATATCTGACACACCCCTCAGCTTAGACATGCTTTAAGCTGGTTCCTGATTGCGCAACCTTAGTATGCTTCTAGGGCTTCCATTCTTGCTTTAATCTCTTCCATATCTGCTTCCTAACTAACTATCCTCTCCCTGACGTTAACTAGCTAAATTTGCTAAAGAAAGCTTAGCTATTTGCTAGCTAGAAGCGCTTTAGTAAGTCTGTCTGCAAGCATTTTGCTAGAGGGGACATAGACAACCTAGATTATTTGTTAAGAGACTTCCTGTTAGAGCTAGTAGTTATAGATGTTAACATGTTAGAGCTTAGTTTAAAGTTAAGATATCTTTTTATTTACTAGTTAGATTATCTGCTTGTTGTTGCACTAAATTATAATAGTTAAATTAGGCAGCTTAACTTATAGTTTATTAAAAAGCATTTTTATAAATATAGCTTTCTTAGCAACTTAGGACAGTGCAAGTAATTCTGCTTCTGTTGTTAATGTTGTAACTGTATTTTATTTATTTACTTGCTATGCAATCTATCTGCTAAATAGTTAAATAATATAGCTCTAAGAGCTTTTTTTATTTAGTGTATTGTTTATAAATAACGCATTACTTGCTACTATAAAGTAGTCTTCTCCTCCTAATTAGAGTGCGTACGTCTGTGTCGCATGTAGGTACAGGATAACTTAATTAGCTGCATTCTAATAGTTAGATGCAGGATTTGTAAGAAACTGTGCAAGGTGTAATGTAGCAAAGGCAATGTCTAGTCTTGTAGTAACTGCTGCAAAGAGCAGAGATTTAATCTTCTGCTAATATTAATTTACTTCTAATAAGGTTGCAAAACTAGATTGCAGCATAAGTTTAATCCTACTTATAGGTGTAGCGTGCTACAGGTTCTTTCTATTAGCTAGCCTAGCTATCTTGTTAATATATAAGGCCTATAATAGCTAAATTATTTATTACTATTAATTTTTAATAATCTTAACTCCTAGAAACTATTATAGGTTCTTGCCTCTTATTAGGGTATACTTCTCTTATAACTAGTCTACTACACGCTGTACATCTACTTTAGAGCCTTTTTTATACGCAATAATAAAGTTGTCTACATAAAAAAAGACAAATATTCTAGCTTTAGTTATGTAGTAGAGTTTATGTAAAACAGCTAAGAACCTAAAGCCTTTAAAAGTTATTATAAAGTAGTGTTACTAGAGTAGAGGAGAAATTTATAGGCTATATAGTGCCTTTTAACACTTTAGTATTATACCTAGTTTCTAATAGCCTCTTAGCATCTGTATGTAGATATTGCGGTTAATTGCTGCATGTATAAACACATTAGTTACATTGTATTGTTTAAGCTCTAGGTTAAAGCGTGCAGATATTACTATTAGCATTTAAAATAAGCGTCCTACTAGAGTGGCAGCGTAGGTATCTTATATAGTAATGTTTCTTTATTAATTACTATAGACTACTAGTTACGCCTTACATCTTTGCAATTTATAGTGCTTGTTAAGCTTGTAGGTGTACACCTACATATAATCTAGAATCTGCTGTCTAGCTGCCTTAATTAGCTTTGTCTAGACCTTTGTCTAGGATTTTATTATCTAATAACTGTCTAGGTGTGTTCTTTCTGCTGCCTTAAACATCTTATGTAAAAGGTGCTCCTCTAGTTGCTTTTAGGTTAATAGTAAAAGTAGCAGCTAGCTTCTATAAGGTGTCTTTTTTTTAAATAGCATCTTTATTAATGCTGCTTTATTTAGTGTCTTGCTGCTATGCTTTTTTACACTTTTAGATCTTATGCTAGCTATAAAGGCTGCAGCCTATAGTATAGTCTTTAAAGACTCTATTTAGCTTAGCTTTAGTGCTGCTCTAGCTATTAACTGCATAAGCAATGCTGCAGGTGGCAGAGTATTTAGAGAAGATAGATAGTTATCTCTAATCTTCCTTTCTTAATAGTAGCCTAGTAGGTCTACTTTATTAAAATTTAATGTATTATTTATAGTGTTGTCTTTATAAAACAACTCTGTCTCTAGCTAATAACTAGGTGTTAGAAGCTTAATTATTCTAATGTATGTAGTAATTTCTTTTATAGTGTTATATAAAATACTACAACAGTTTATAAATAATCTGTAAAAGCAAAGCTTGCTTAGAGCAATAGTTAGTACATTAAGGTAGGTTATTTAGGTTAAAGAATAGTTGTAGCATAATGCTTAGCAAATTAGTATTAGACAGGTAATAGACATATAATAACAATATTTAACTATAGCATATAACTAATTACAGCCTGTAACTAAGCGTAGCTAATACTAATCTCTAACACACTAATATAGCTAATGCTAATCTCTAACACACTAATATAGCTAATGCTAATCTTTAACACACTAATATAGCTTAAAAAGTAGAATAAACATAACTAACTATAATTTAAATATGTTTTATATAACATATACTAAAGTAAACTACATGTAAATTAATATAAAAATATATGTATATTAAGTATACATTATTTTAAAAAAGAATAACGTACTTCATGGGCGAGTCGCTCACACACCCGAGTCGCTCACTTTTGCCAAGACCCCACCCCAACGAACTCTATTATGGCCCATAATAACCTGCTCTAGCACTATATAGTACAGTACAGCCTAGAATATTATTTAGATACTACTTCTGCTTCTTGCTTACACGTTTGCGTGTTATGCCTAGTCTAATTGCACTGTCTGCAGCGCCTTTAGGATAGCTTACCTACTTTAGCTTGCACCTGCTTCTTTGCCTTCTTCCTATCACTGCGCGCCCTAAACTCCTTTAGAGCTGTTAAGCGTAGGCCTTTTTAAATTATTAAGGTCTCTTCTGCCTTAATCTGCTTTCTTTTATGCAATTTATGTTACGTAGTAGCCTTATTAGCTGCTTAAAGCTTAGTAATTTCCTGTTACGCTAACACTAGCTTATGTATAATTATTGCTGCCCTTTTTAAGACCTTCTTAAACACCTTAACTATAGAAGTTAGTAAACTATTTATATACTTCTAAATCTTTATTTTTATAAGCATTAATTACAACCTAAGTTCTAGGGTATTGCTTAGGGTTTACAACTGCTAGGGCTTGTTGTATATAAGTAGTAGTAGTAATAGAGTGCGCAACTTTACATTAAGGCCTATTATAACCTGTTGTGGGTTAAAAGGAACTAATCTAGCGCCTTAGAACCCTTCTTAAATATTACTAAAAGTAATTACAGCATTATAAGCTACTTTAAAGCATAGCAGGAACTTTATTTTTATAATATAAGTAATTTAGTTGCGCATAAGGTTTTTAGCTTAGCGCCTATACGCCTTCTTTAAAGGAGTAAAACAACCTACATTAAGTAGCTATAAAAGGTGTAATAAGTAAAAAGGCATGTAAATAGTAATAATCTTATTATCTTTATAGCATTGCTAGAAATAAAGTAAGTTATAGCTCTTATAGCTGTTAATAACTAGCAGACAGTAGCTGCTAACAATACGCTTCTTTATATGCGCGTTAAAGTGCTTTAACTAGTCTAGACTAAGCTAATTAGTAGTCTAGCTGCGCTTAGAGATTGCAATAACTTAATTTTAGAGTAGATTTTCCTCCTTGTACTAGTTTAAAAGGTAGTTGCTACCCTAAAAGATAATAAAGGGCAGAATAGCCCACCCTTTAGCATTAATGCCCTAGATAGCTGTTGTCCACTCCTAGTTGCCTAGCTAGACTGCTTTTAGCTGTCCTTATCTCTCTAAACCTATAACAACTGCTCTAGTAGATATCTAGCCTATTATAAACTCTATCTTGTTAAAGTTATATGTGTTATTATCTTAGATGCTATACTTAGCTTTAATATTCTCTATAAAGTTAAACTAGCCTTAAATTACTGCAGGATCCTTATAAAAAGCTCTTTTATAGTTATACTTACACTTAAACTTTACTTTAAGCTTTAAGTAACACTTAATAAACATATTAGGCTAGTTTATGCTAATATAGCCTATATTACGCTTAGCGCGTAAAGAATTAGCTATATTAGCCACAGCTGCTAGCTAGGGGGGAAATCCTTGCGCATCTAGCTTAAGTATGTGCTAAATAATTACCTGCTCCTTGTTATTATCTAGCTTTTATAAGTTAGCTATATAATTAGCTTAGAAAGATTGTCTAGCGCGTTAGTCACTTATTATCTTTTAAGGGACCCTGTAGATAGCTGTAGCATGTTAGTTAAAAAGTGTTGTGTCTTATTTAAAAGCCTAGAGCGTAAGCTACATCTAACATTCTTTTAACGCGTTTAAGTAGTGTTGTTAGGAATGCATTAGTGTAGGAAAAGTAGTGTGGTAGGGTCTTAGCAAAAGTAAGCAACTCAGGTGTGTAAGCAACTCGCCCATGAAGTACGTTATAAGAAATACATAAAGTAATAAAAAATAGTGTTACTAAAGTTTATTTAAAAATATTATAACTAACTAGTGTGTTT